CAGTGCGCTAAGGTTCAATAGTTTTTGTGAATTAGGTTTTTGAGATTCATCATCTGAGTTTAAAACAAGAACGGTTCATGTTTCACGGATCCATACATGCAAACTCATCCTTCGTAATTAAGTTTATAGATCACATCATTTTATAAACATGAAGCAGCAACAAAATTAACTATTAATTATCAAAGAGTTAAATTAAATTAAATTTGAAACGTACAGCGATAAAATTAACTATTATTCATTAAAGAATTTAACTAAACTCAGTTTAAAGATATCAATTTTATAAACAGAAACCAGCAACAATATTAATCAGAAAGAGTTAAACTTAATTAAGTTTTTTAAAAAGAGATTGATTGATTGATTTACTAACGTATATGCTATATAATTTTTTTTTGTCCCCAAGACATGATCAGGTTGTTACGATCAAATCTCGGAATTTTTTCTACTGTGAAATTTTTGTGTTGTCTGTTTTTTTATATTGATCTACCAGGGGTTGTAATCTGGCAGCACATTCATCCATCCACGCTTCATTCATTCTGAGAAGAGGGCTGACAAGATTCCTGCTGCCTAAGTGCTTCATAGACCTGAGAATAATAGAGTGCAGGAATTCTTCTGATATACTGGAATGAGGTCCGGGTGCCATACTGATAGGAAACATCACATTCATTGCTCCCTAACATCTGTAAGCCCGGATTGGATACCCCCAGGTAACCTATAGCTGGCAACCACAGACTCTCCCTGCTTGTCCACCATTCCTCTATTCATCATCATTCACCTGGATCAATCCACTTAAAGCTTCTTTCTTGTTGAGTAGAAAGCATACACCCTTTCGCTGCGAGAGTTTTTGACAGCTGCCCCTCTGTCCTCTTACATCCGTCATAACTGCTTAACCAGATGTCAACTTCAGTTGTTTTTGAAACCACAGGTTTGTGTGGAGTACGGGAATCGAACTCGTGAACACCAGTCTGGACACCAATCCAAACTTTATTAAGTTTATTGAAATCACCATTTTATAAACAGAAAACAGCAACAAATTAGATATTAATAATTAAAAAGTTAAAATAAATTAAGTTTAAAGATCACATGATGTTATAAACATGAAATTATTAGATAGTTAAAAACTAAATTCATTCATTCCCTTCCCCCATCCCTGTGATATCTCCTATGACTCAAAGGGAGGATTATGTCCTGGCAAAATTGAAAAAATTTGTTATAGAGAAAATGTTGATTATCAAATATTTTTTGAAAACCATTTAAAACTCTGTAAAACCAAATAATTTAGTTTTATAATGTTTCCAGAAAAATGGGGTGCCATTCACCATGGTGGCCTGTAAGTATAAAAATTTGCAAAATTAATTGGCAGGGTTAGGTGTAAATGGGATAAAAATTTGGATAGTAATAAATTAGTAAAATTACATAGAACAGTATTAATTATCACAAATTATTTCTAGCACTCTCTGAAAATTACATATAGCGTTGTGGGGGGGGGGGATAAAAGAACTGAGTTCCTGCTATAAAATCTGATCTTAATTCCTATATCTTTGAAACATGATGTTGAATATAGACCTTTGATACTACAAACTTTTATTTACTTCTGTTAGATCAAATAGTCTCAGTATGAAATTTCAAAGGTTTACACCATCAGGTTTCAATTAGATATAAGGACTAGAAAATTCATGTTTGTGGCAAAAACTCAGTTCTTTTGTTACAGGTTTAAATATGGTCTTGAATTCATTTCCTTCATTTGGTTTTGAACCCCAGAGTTGAGTTTATAAGCTAAACTTTAAATTTTGTTTACTTTTGCTGTGATGCCTGTAACTGTAAAGTTTAAAGATTGCATCATAAAATGAAGAAAAATATATCTAAAAACAAGACAAACCTAAATTTGGATAATATTTGATGAATATGTCTTAAATAATCTTGAAATCTGTAGATAGTGTCTAGCTCTAGCTCAAGCTTACTATTCACACCAGGATCAGATACAGAGGTTTACATCAGGGTAGATACAGAGACATCAGGGAGGTGGGAGGAGAGACAGGGAGATGGGAGGAGAGACAGGGAGATGGGAGGAGAGACAGGGAGATGGGAGGAGAGACTTTTTAAATTATTTGTAGCGTCAAATTTGATCAAGAGTAAGATATAAAACATACTATAGAAATTATGTATCTACGTACGAAGTTAAAATTTTCGAAATTCACAATTTCTGTCACAGCTGATCTGTCTGCTACAGAGAGAAAGCTTTCTATGCAGCCTCTCATTGGTCGAATCAGAACCAATCCTGACCTAGACTTTACTTGTGCTCGAGTCTTTCAATAAGCGGGGTTTTACTCGGGCTTAAGCTTTTAAAATCTCAGCTCAGGACGTTGGAACACATAAAAGTCGACCCCTTCTTTAAAAGTATGCAACTTTTTATAGCTATCTAGATCTTGGTGCTTATCAAACAGCTTTATTTCTTATACTTCCTTTATTTAAACGTTATCAAACTTGAGGCAGTATATTGTGTGTGCATGTTGATTAGTGTGTGTCCAATTCAGGGAATATTAAAGTAACTGCTTAAAAATTATGTATACTGCAGTTTCTTGGAGGAATGTTTACATCAAGCTTAGCCTATGTTTACATTCCTAATAAACAATCACACACAGTTGTATTTACGATCCACTATTGTTAATGATCAAACTCTGTTAACGATGCACTAATAACGATTCACCATTCTTAACGATAAACCATCGTCAACAACCTGAAAAGTAAAATTCTAATAAAATGATCCAGCCGCAGGAACGATCGTTAACTTAAAAAAGAATAGTTTTCAAGAATTAAGAAAGTCCCCTGTGTACACTTTTTCTATTTTTTACACATCATTTATAAGAACCTACAAGGGTATACATGATTACTGAAATTAAACCTTATTGTTTTTTTATGAAAAGTACGATCAATGCCATAAATACAGTGAAGTAAAATGAAAATACGAAATAAAAACATTTCTTAAAAAAGGACAGACCGGCTATGTAAGGTAATTGAACTGAGTATGCAATGTTGTGGAAATATTCTTTAGTTTTCATTTGAGACATATAAAACTTTTTAAAGATTTGTAGATCCTGAGTTTGAGCGCAAAGACGGCGTTCAAAATCGTACTTTTGGGTGAAAAAGTTTTATGAATTTTTTTCAAATTATTAAATAATGACGACAAAAAATGTTTACAAATTTCTACAGTAAACTAATTAGTTGTTTAGGAACAGGTGGAGAAAATAAAAATTATCTTATCGTCGAAAATAAGTAATACAATTTAATTATTAGTTTCTATAATCTCTCAATTATTCACAAAGATTTTCTGCAGATTTTCTGGAATTTTTATTGAAAAGACGACATTTGAGGAAGTTGCAGAAATCTGCTAATAAATTCATAGAAAATAAGAAATTCAATATAATTTATGAAAACGAAATAATTGAATCTAATTATAGCATTTATTTATTGACAAATTTCTTTTGAGAAATATGTTCCTAACGATTTAATTAGTTTATTGTAAAATTTTTACTTTATTTTTCGTCGTCGTTATTTAATAATTTAAAAAACCCAATTCTGAAAACGTACCCACCCAAATTCATGATTTTGAACGTCAACTATGCACTCAAACTCAGTAATTAGACATTATGGAAAAGTTTATATGCCTCAAATGAATCCTAAAGAATTTGTCCACAACACTGCATACTCAGTTTAACTTCCTTACAAAGACGGTCTGTCCCTTTAAATACTAAACTGTTCCATATTTTATATTACAAAAAATATTTAGAAAGCATGTCAGATACTGCGATAAAAAACCTAGAAACTGTAAATAATTTTTTAAACATTGATATGGAAGACGACAGAACGCAGTTTAATCAGCTGAGCGAAGAGCTCTTAAAACGTGCGGCATTTGCGAGGTCTGATCTGATCAGTATTTTAAAAAGAGTATTTCCAACGAAAAGAAATATTACTTATTATTTTTCTAAAAGCCTTTACTTTTTAATCTCACAAGAAAAACACTGTACAATAATTGCCTTTAAAGTCTGCCCGGTATTTTAAATGAACCGGAGTGTTTTAATGCGCCATGGATATTAACCAGATTTATAGGCCATATTGTTAGGGTTGTAACTTTGATTAGTTCTAGTTCTAGTTCTAGTTCTAGTTCTAGTTCTAGTTCTAGTTCTAGTTCTAGTTCTAGTTCTAGTTCTAGTTCTAGTTCTAGTTCTAGTTCTAGTTCTAGTTCTAGTTCTAGTTCTAGTTCTAGTTCTAGTTCTAGTTCTAGTTCTAGTTCTAGTTCTAGTTCTAGTTCTAGTTCTAGTTCTAGTTCTAGTTCTAGTTCTAGTTCTAGTTCTAGTTCTAGTTCTAGTTCTAGTTCTAGTTCTAGTTCTAGTTCTAGTTCTAGTTCTAGTTCTAGTTCTAGTTCTAGTTCTAGTTCTAGTTCTAGTTCTAGTTCTAGTTCTAGTTCTAGTTCTAGTTCTAGTTCTAGTTCTAGTTCTAGTTCTAGTTCTAGTTCTAGTTCTAGTTCTAGTTCTAGTTCTAGTTCTAGTTCTAGTTCTAGTTCTAGTTCTAGTTCTAGTTCTAGTTCTAGTTCTAGTTCTAGTTCTAGTTCTAGTTCTAGTTCTAGTTCTAGTTCTAGTTCTAGTTCTAGTTCTAGTTCTAGTTCTAGTTCTAGTTCTAGTTCTAGTTCTAGTTCTAGTTCTAGTNGTGGTACAGTACAGATTATCTCAAAATATTCTTAAACTATTTTTGTCGTGCTACTGCCTTAAAATTAACGTTATTGAAGCGTCTGAAAAATCAATTTATATTATTATTTTTTTAAAGTTAAGCTTGTTACATGTTTACGCACCCTATTTAAAAAATACCTGTCAAAATGAAAAACTATATAAAAATTTGCTTTCAAAAAGGAATTGAGTTTTTGCCAACAACTGAGGTATCCTATAATCCCTATATCTTTGCAATCCAATAAATAATCTATAAATAATCTAAGTTTGAACTATCAAAAGTGTACACCATCAGGTTGCAAAGATATAGGAATTAGACAATTTGAGATTGTGTCAAAGACTCAATTTCTTTGTCTAAAGTTTTAAGCTTCGACTTAATGTCTTTAATACTAAAAAAGTTTAATGTTGTTGTATATGATTTAGTCTGACGATGAGTACATCCCGTTTAGACGAAGGGTTAAACCTTTTGTCTGATTCCCTGGACACTCTAGCATCAAACATTCAACAGTTAACTCTTCAGGTTCATAGTTCTACTAGAGATTATTCAGTAAATATTCATACTCTTAGGTTCTACTAGAGATTAGTCAGTAATATTTATTCTCTAAGGTTCTACTAGAGATAAGTCAGTAAATAATTATACTCTAAGGTTCTATTAGAGATAAGTCAACAAATATTTATACTCTTAGGTTCTACTAGAGATAAGTTAGTAAATATATATCTTCTTAAAAAATTAAATAAATTGACACGTATTTTTAAAACAGAAAAACAAGAATATCAGACATGCCATTCTTCAAATGAACGGTCACTCTAAAATGTATATGTAGTCCCTATAGCGAGTATATATATATTAAGATTCCTCTTCTTGAATCTTCCAGTGTGACAATACATTATTCTGAGATCTTTTTTAATACAGACCCTTCTTTACAGAAACTGTCGAATTGTAATTTATTGTAATTTCATGTGAGCCTCCCTTTAAATAAGAGGAGCATGCCCGATATTCAACGGTACCCTTTTGAACCCTAATGTGATCAAGATTGTGGAAGATAACGTCGTTTTTTGAGCTTGTTAATTATTTAATTCTGATAATTTCTCCAAAGTTTCAAAAGTAAGAAATGCGCAATTCACTTGTGCAGAGAAAATGAAAATTTTTCAAAACAAAACATTGATATGGATAGATGGAAGAAGCTTTTAAGGGTACTTTTGTAGATCGGACATGGAGGGTCATTTGAAAATACGTTTACAGTCCTTTTAATCAATTGTTAGTCATAAGTGTTTTTCGATGATGTATTCTGTTGTTTTTACAGGTTTATATTCAAGAAGAAAAGAAGAACAAAGCAGCATTAGGTTAGATAAAGATTATAAACTGTAAAAAATAACAATCTACAGGTACCCCAATCTATAAGCCAGTACAACATGTACTGTATATGCATTCAGTCGTACTGTCTAGTCTGGACTACCGAATGTAAAGTTTTATGCAACACATGCAGCCTGACAAGATCTATTTGTGGGCTTTTTAAAGAAAACACAAATTCCAAATCCAAAGAGTTAAATCAGGGCTTATACAAAAAGAATACAAATTGACATACGAAACGAACTGAACAATTGCCTAAAACTCTAATCTTTTAATCCTGAAATATGTTGACCTTGATGTCATTGTGCCTTTCAAATTTTAAATCTGTAAATTCTAATAGGTCTGATCGTGAACGTTATTGATATATAAGGTTTACATCAGATTCCAAAGATATAAGGATCGGAAAATAAGAGTTTCATTTCAGGCAGGTAAGCGATGTCAAACAACCTGAAACACTCGCCGATTGAAATGTCATTTAATATTATTTGTGATAAAAAAATCCATCTTAACAAGCCTAATCCGATCCTCCAGTGATAGGTTGGTATGTACGATTCACAATGGTACAATAAAATACTTTGTCTAATAATGTATGACATCCATGTTTTTGTTTTTAAAAAAAATATTTTCATTTGTGGTTTCTTTTCTAAAGTGGGGTTGCGGATTTCTTACTTCAGAAAAAATGGAGAAATTAACTGAATTAAACACTTTTGTCAGCTATAAAAACGACGTATATACCACATTATTGATCACATAAAGGTTTAAGGGTTCCCTGTAAATCGGATTTTTAAATGCAGTGTCAAATTCATGAACCTACGCTTACAGTCCCTTCTTCTTTTATATATATTATTAATTTTGTTTGTTTGTCTTTCTGTCTGTTTGTCCGATTTGTATCCAATAACCGTCAAAACAGCTGAACAGATCGGACCCAATTTTTTTGTGGGACCTCATATGAACCAAGGTAAGGTTTATGGAACATCAAAATTGGAGAAAAAAATTCCTTGAAAATAGTTTGATTTTTTTTGTTGATAATGCACAAATTCGAAATGAAAATACACCAAAATTTGAAAATAATATAAAATGGCCGACTTTAGAGGAACAGCTAAACCTAAAATTATATTCAGGAAATGGAGCGCGAAGTGCTTTAAAAGCCTAGTTAATATTAAATTGCATACGTAACATCTGTATACTCTAAATTAAAAAATTCAAATTAAATTAAGTCACCTAATTGGGTTTTAAAGTTGGATGGCTTCAGGCGATAAAAAATCTTTAAACAAAAAAGACAAATAATCAATTAAATTCGACAAAAAATCGCTTATTTACAACAAAAAATCGCTTATATTGCATCAGAATAATATAGTTTCCAAATCTTAATTCTACTCCAAATTCTGTGAAAGCCTCTGTTTTTTTTTCAAACAATCACATATGACAATTTGTCGCAATCAGAAATGAACAGGCTAACTGAGCATATGGAATTCGTAAACTAACTAAATGTAAAATGAGAATCAACCTTACCCATCAGCTGGTTAATAAACCGCGGTTTTTGAGTACCTACATGAAAATAGGCGATTTTAAATCGCTTATTAGGCGACTTTCAGTCGTCAAAAATGAAAATATTTCTTTTTCAAAGAAAAAGATTTAAGATCATTTAAAATGCAGCTACTAGCCTACTAATCGTTATTAGACGATTTAAAGATGCAAATCAGGCGACTTTTAGTCGTCCATTATGAAGTTTTTTTACTTCAAAAATAACGATTTAAAATCGCTTAAAGTGCAACTATAAATCGTTTATAAAGTGACTTTTTGTCATTAATTTCACTTTTTTAAGTTTTTAATTAAGAGTGTGGAATATGTTAATCTTGAAAAATTTGTAATTTGATATTGGTTTTACTGAATTTATCATTGTTATTTTATAATCAATATTTAGATAAATTAACCTGTATTAGAACTCCAGTTATAAGACATATGACACAAACTATGGAAATGGAAAAGAGTCCTTGGAAGGTAAAAAATCTATTAATGTTCTTCATTTATGTTAAAACACCCCCCCCCCCTATGTCACCCCCAGGCTACCCATGAGTGTCAAAAAAAATTCTGAAACTTTTAATGTTTTTAGACTTTTAAAGGGTTTTATGCATAGATATATACACAAGGCAATAGATCGCTAATGCAGACTCTCGATTATCTCTGATGCAGATTGACTGTAAAGCTGAAAATTGTACAACCCCTTGTACACCACGAACTCGTCATTCAAATAGGTCATTGAATACGTTTCACTTCTTGGGGTCAATCCGTAGAGTATTTTTCCCGATTCGTTAGACATTTTCTAGCTATGCTTTAGCTGTGACTTCCTCGCCTAGCTAGCCTGGGAAATCGCAGCTAAATCACAGCTAGAAAATGTTTAAAGAATCGGGTATTTTATTCTTATTTATTTAAAGAAGTTTCATACAATCTAGGCTTCTCCCATTAACTATTTTAGCTTTTAACAGTTGCACTGAAAGTCGTCACTAAAACTTGTTCTAAATTTGTGTTTCTTTTTTGTTTAAATTGGTTCATTTTTAAAAGTAATAAATGTCGACATTTTTTTCCTAGGATACTTTTTAAAATTACACCTTTCCTTGGGCCATGAGAGTTGCCACACCTTTTTTACGCTTATTGGATAGGGGTTGAACTCCAGACAAAGTTATAGAGAAATCCTGAAATAAACCAAAATTATTAGTTTTAAAACGTTTTAAATAACTATTTAGAAATTTTCTCTTATCGAGAAGGTTCCACCCTTTTTAGATTAAATTTCGTGCCAAAATAATAGTGTTTTAGGTAATTTTATGAAACGTTTGTGAACTTTCAATGGATGTTTCTATAGATCAAATAAGCTTTGAAACAAAGCAGAAGTATTTCAATTGAAAAGAATATTTTGTAAATATCCTAAATTTTTCGGAGAGAATCCGGGAGCCAATCAAACTTTATAGCACACGTGCCATAATGTACAGCTAATTTAACTTTATAGCACGATAATTACTTTATAGGACGTTTATTATGAAATTCACGATAAAGTAATATGTGATTTGGCGGCGTCCACTTTTAATGTTTCTGAATATTCCTTTTTCCAACAAAAATTAAATTAAAAATTGTCTTAAATCAAATTTCAGATTTTTGACAAAGATTTTGTTTAGGATGGAATTCCAAAGTATAAACGCTCCATGGTGAAACTACCATTACTAAGGAATTATGTTCATCATATTCCTGAAATTGTGTTCATCATATTCCTGAAATTATGTTCATTATATTCCTGAAATTATGTTCATCATATTCCTGAAATTATGTACATCATATTCCTGAAATTATGTTCATCATATTCCTGAAATTATGCTCATCATATTCCTGGAATTATCTTCATCATATTCCTGAAATTATGTTCATCATATTCCTGAAATTATGTTCATTATATTCCTAAAATTATGTTCATCATATTCCTGAAATTATGTACATCATATTCCTGAAATTATGTTCATCATATTCCTGAAATTATGTTCATCACATTCCTGAAATTATGTTCATAATATCTCTGAAATCATGTTCATAATATCTATGAAATTATGTTCATCATATTCCCGAAATTATGTTCATCATATTCCTGAAATTATGTTCATAATATTCCTGAACTTATATTCATCATATTCCTGGAATTATGTTCATCATATTCCTGAAATTATGTACATCCTATCCCTGAAATTTATTCCAGAAATTATGTACATCCTATCCCTGAAATTATGTTCATAATATTCCAGAAATTATGTACATCATATCCCTGAAATTATGTACATCCTATCTCTATTATTATGTACTTTATTAAGCATGTTTAGATGTACATACATCGCTAGACCTGACAGCATTATAGATATTGGATCGGAAGGGTAAGAATTATTTCTTCATAACTTGTTTTGTCAAGAAATTTTCTTGACGTTTATGTTTTGTCAAGGATTTATTCAATTTATTTAAAGCGGATCTGATGAAAGAAAAAGTAGTAGGTCTTCTAAAGCATTGTCTACGGATGGATTTGGAACAAACAGGTTTTAATCTAATTTATTCTATTGAAATGCACTGCTTTAAATATACTTACTCATAGCAGCCCCAGTCAAATCAGAGCTATGCAGAGTAGCGTCAGAACCTCTGAGATCCGAATTAATAAGTTCTGGGCTCTGGCCCTAGTCTGCAGAGTACTTGGGAGAATGTGCATGCTTTCATCTGACTGAGGCCAAAACTTACGACAGGGTATCGTTATGAAAACCAGTTTTACGAATGGGCTTAGACAGTTTTGTGGATATCAATATTTTTGTTATAAAATATTTTTTCATTTAGCTTCTTCATATTCTCCACTTTTTTCAAATGTTCTAAATCAAAATCTACAAAATGTTAAGACCCCAAAAAGAAACTCGATAGTTTCGTTCAACGATACTCTTTTAAATTTTGAGCTTTGATGTTTCAATGATATATATTTGAAACTATTTGTATAACTTGGAAGGATAGGGTTTTTACATTTTGAATATTTTTCTAACATCTGAACAGTAGTGGAAAATTTTTATTTCACCTTAGTTACATTTTGTTTACCGTGCAAAACAATGCATTATTAGAGTTTTGGAAACAAAGAAAGAATTTTCAGAACGGCTTTTAGTAGAGTAATGTTTCTGTTAACTAAAACATGTATTCTTTTGACATCTAGAAAAATACAAGACAGCTTCCGTTAACCTCTTGTTTATATAAACTTCAGCGGCATTTATCACAGAATAATTTTCAAGGCGACATTTTAAAATTTTTATTTTGGTCTTCAAAAATCTGGGATTTACTCTGCTTGAATATATATATATATATATATACAGAGCGTCCCATCTCATATCATATTGGATTATCTCCAAGCTTTAACGCCAAAATACAAAATAATACTCGGAAAACCTATACATTTTTTTAATGTTTTATTTTTATTTTTTATTAGTACCTTTAATCTCAATTTAGAGCTATAAACGATCTAATGTGATGTGGGACACCCTGTATATAGAATACTAAAGATAAAGAGAAAAGAATTTGGGTATAAATCATAATGTGACATATATAATTGAACTTCTAGAAACTAGTTTTATAAAAACAATATCAAAGATAAAATAATGAAAACCCTAAATCCTAGTTTTATTTTTGTGAGTTAAGGATTTCTATCTATCTTTTTTCTTCTCAAAATTGATAAAAGCACAGGAAAAGAGTATCGAGCAATTCTTTGATTACATCATGACATGTAAGCTAAACTAATTGATATTCATATTTAAACCTTAAGTATTTCAATTTAGAAAAACGACATCAACATTTGGAAGGAGTAAACAAAAACTTTCAACACTAAAAAAGTAAGATTAACAGTTAACCTAATTATATCAGAATTTAAATCTATATTTAAAGTTAAAACGTTGACATTTTTGTCGGATTTAACAGGTTTTATTAGACATAGTAAGTAGTAATAATCGAATTTTATAAATAGAAATAAATTTAAATTGAACTATCAATATTATTTCAGATTTCAAATGACAACACTTCAAAAACAATCAATTGAAAAGAAAAAGGTAATTATTACACTTTCCGGTCAAAAATTGTTGAAGAATTTTAAAATTACTAAAGCAAATTTATCATATCAATATAAGGCATATTCATTTAACTTCGCAAACTATGAAAATTTAAAAATGTAAAAGATTGCAGATTATTCAGCGTTCTTTGGAGAATTTTCACTTTTTCATACCCCTTTTTCTAGCACCGTTTGCAACAAATTTTTAAATTTGCAATACACATCCTCTGGGGTCATGTGAAATACCATAAAAAAGGGTCCGATTGGTTCAGTCGTTTCGACGTTTATTGAATGCAAACATACACACAGAAAGACAAGCAAAATTTAACGAAAGATGTATATGAAAGATAAACATGTTCTTAATGTTGGATTGTTTTCATGATTACTTATTTCAGGATGATATTGCAGAAGATGTAGCACCAGACACTTCTGAAGCAGTAGCAGTTAACACGGAGACTATTCATGTTGACACTCTTGATGATATTCTTGATCAGCTTAAGCTGGAAACTGACAATGTCCCAGATAAATCAACGGATACTTTCAACGACTATTTCCCAGGTATACAAATGTATGTACGAACATCTTTTTTTTCGGCAACCCTGTAAAAAAATAATGAGAAATTAGCTTGTTTTACTAAAGTAATATTTTTGACATCTGTCACGTGAAATGAGTTTAATAGTACTTTGCGTTTATACAGTTTAACCCATTTAGTCGGAGATGTAGAAAGAATTTATAAAATGTCGTCTTGACAATTTTTTTGCTATTTTCAGGCTATTTTTATGCTATTACGCTTAAATTTCAGTAATTGTAAAAATATATAAATATATTTATTAAATATGCGGGAAAAGTTTGAAGAGCTCTATATAATTATTCCATTAATAACTTGCATCGTTCCATTATCGGTAGGTTTGGAAAACGACATTTCATATATTCTTTTGGTATCTCCAAAGTTCTTGGTTAAACTTAACGATGTTGTTTTATTTAAAGAGTTTGATGAATCCGAAACTCCAAACCGTGTCAGCCTATCTGATATCACCAATACAGAAGAAGAAGTTCAGATCAAACCTAGAAAAGAAATTAAGAACTCCTCCAGAGTAATGAGGTATTTTCAATTTAAGAATTCGACGGTTGCGTGTGTTTTTTTACTTTCATAAAATTAATAAGATACTGACAAGAAAATGCCTGAAACTTATCTCATTCCAAACATATTCTTACTCATCACTTATTCTGCTAAAGGATACTAATTGTGAATCAATTATGATACCAAACCTTTTAAATACAGACTGTGGTGCAATCTGCTACCCCGCTCAACCGACCAAGAGGAACTGAGCTAAGGGGTTTCCGAGCTAAAATTATTTTTAATTCTAAAATTACAGATATTCATGGCTAAGAGAGGTAGGTGGAGTTGGAATTAGTTCGGATTCCTTTATGTCTATTTCTATAGCATTCGCAAACCTTTTAAAATTTTGGAAATGTTTCTTTGAATCTTCTATAATATACTAAATCTAGTACATATATTAATACCAAGCGAGGGTAAACGGCGGAGATACATACAAGTAATATAGGTAAAGCCTAGCGCCTCAGCTATAAATGTTAAACTCACACAACGGCCAAGTATCGTTGGAGAGTAGTTTAAAAATGTCGTCTTTGTAATATGTGAAATATTTTAGTATTGTTTTGGAGGATGATTTTGACGAGCCCCTCCCGACACCCCCTAATACACCTAGTGCTAGGTAATGTTTGGAAAAGGGATTTAAAAGATCATTGTAGTAAGAATGTAAGAAAGTAATTAAGTTTAAGTAAGTAATTATTTATATATATGAAATATAACAAAAACTTACAAAATTAAGTGTTTAAGGAAAACATATTTGAAAACCTCCAAAAATAGAGATTGTGGGAATATTTCTCCCCAATTATAAAAAAAATGTAAAAATAGAAATAAAATGAAAAGGAAAGGAAAGGATAAGGAAAGTTACATATTTATTGTTTACATTATATTTAATATAAACTAGTGGTGGATTGTTAATATTTTTCGATTTTAAACTAACAACTTTTAGAAATAATAATGATAGATTTATTTGAAATGTTTAAAAAAATAAATTAGACTTTATGGGTTGTGGAAAAGGTGTAGGTTTTACGCAAAACAGTCATTTTTCATCATCTTTTTAATTCAAGCCAATTTTTGACATTCTTTATGTTTGATTATACCTTTCACTCTTTTTAATCTTTTAGTCTTTTCTTTGTAAAATCATCTTTGCTTTCCTCGATTCTTTCGCAAACATAGCATGTGTTAGAGTTTATACATTTGTTCTGCTGATAAAAATCTTCAATTAAATTCTGTTTAATTCGAAATAAGATTGAAATTAGAAAGCTTAGAAAAGTCATTTAAAACGGACTATAAGCATTATTTCAAGTGACCCTCTATCCAAAGAGAGCAATGCCCGATATTTTCAACGGTAAACATTTGTGTGTTCCTCATGTACAGAGATATGTGTGCCATGTGTTCCTCATGTACAGAGATATGTGTTCCTCATGTACAGAGATATGTGTGCCATGTGTTCCTCATGTACAGAGATATGTGTACCATGTGTTCCTCATTTACAGAGATATGTGTGCCATGTATTCCTCATGTACAGAGATATGTGAGCCATGTGTTCCTCATGTACAGAGATATGTGTGCCATGTGTTCCTCATGTACAGAGATATGTGTGCCATGTGTTCAGTCAACTTCTCGAAACACGCTTGAAGTAGAAGCTGCAAATTCAAGTGCGCGCTGTATTGACTTACGTACAGTCTGAACTCAATACTGCACAGTGCACACTTGAATTTTCAACTTAACACAATTGCGGGGTTTTAACAGTTTAAACACACATACCTCTGTACTCGATGACGACGACGACGGGCATTGATTCTTTTGCTGTCCTGCACATTTCAGGGCTATTAATTTACCTGGAAATAAAATAAAAAGTAGTTTCTTAAGAATTATCAAAAAAATACGACTCTCAAAAAGGGTATTTCGATATATTTCAATAAATCTTATTCAACCCTTGGAAGCTGCGAACATCTGAGCAGCTTTCTTCATGTGTGGAACAATGCTAAAGCATAACAGCTGTCATTAACTTTAAAATAAATTTAAGACGACATTTCATGCGCTCTTGTTTTGTATCCTTATATGTGAGATTAGCTGTAGAAAACCTTTCAAATGTGTAAACAGGTAAAAATTTGATTTTAATCCTAAAATGTTGTTTCCAGTGTGAGTGAAGAGTTTAGAATAAGTTCTCTTCCGACACTTCCAGAGGACGAATTTAATAAATAGGTAGTATTTAAACAAGTTTAAAGAGAATATTGCTAATTTTAATTAAAAGAATAACAGGACCAATTCACTACGGTACTGTAGAGTAGAGCCCTTTGTTGTATTAAATATACCTTGAGAATCAGAAAAATTTGAAATAGGTAGACGGCTTTTAGACTCAAGTTATGACTTTATATGGTCCAATGAACACAGTAACACAGGGAGTGTCTGCAGAGTCCACATAAGAAAATTACATAAATAATTTATTAACACTTGTTAGCTGGAAGTATAAATATGATCGAATAGTTTACATAGTTAAAAAAGGTACTAATATTTTTTTTAAAGGGGTTTTAAAGGGGGCACAATGTTGCCGAGGGAGGCACACATTGTGCCTCACTCATCATAAATGCTTTTGTACGCCCCTGACATCTATTTTACAGTGTAAACAGACCTGTTTTACTGAATAAGTGATTTAATATGTCAAATGGTAAAACTAATTGATTGTAAAAACATCAGATAAACTTTAGTATAGTTTTAATGTCGTCTTCTTTTTCCAGTTTTCTGGTATTAGGAAGATGTTGTCATTATCCTTCTTTGTGTCTTCTCCATAATCAGGGTTCAGTCATGTGTTTGTTGTTTATTCTGAACCAATAGAAATTGCATGGCAGTATCATCTATCTTTCTATCTATCTCATTATCCAATAAGAGATACATCCTTATTTCGGGGCCAAACAGTAAATTGAAATATTTACTTCTACTGAAACTACAGTGTGTTGAAATTACGATTGAAAACTATCCATTAAAAAAGTTTGAAGAGTACTATTGTGAATTGGTAATGTAACTCTTAAAATGTAATGCCACTTGAAATCACGTATACTAAATCAATTATTCAATAAATCAATCAAATATTAAGAATATACAGTCCCTTTGAGCTTTATTATAAACAATGAATAGATCTCAATGCTTGTTAAAATCTTTTAAAAACCTAATAAGATATTTTTCAGGACATTTTATGAAAAAAACGTAACTTGCATCCAAAAAATTTGTTTGGCAAAATAAAACAAAGCAGAAGACAAAATATAAAGTTCATTTCATTACTAATTTCATTTCATTTGAAAGAATTGTTTTGTAAAAATCCTAAATTTTTTAGGAACATCCGGGAACCAAAACTTTACGACACACATGCTATAATGTACAGCTAATTTAACATTATAGCACGATGATTACTTTCTAGTACGTTTATTATGAAATTCACAATGAAGTGTGTAATAATGATAAAGTACACTATAGTTTAAAAAAAAACTTTTCATGCTAATAACTCTTCAGAAATCAAAGTTGTTTTTGACATCGCTTAGGATTATAAACTAAAAAAGAATAAACTTTATTTTAGCCTTTTCTTAAACATTGTTTTTATAACACCGAAAACTGCACTTCTGTTTTTCATCTTGATTACAGAAATATTTAATAATGGATCATTTAAAAATACAAAAGCTTGTAAAAAAGTTGATTTCAATGTCGTCCCTTAGTTCTCTTTTTAATGATTTTTGATTTAGCATGGAAGCTGCAATCCGTAGAACGTTTCTTCTGGAGAGTTTAAAATTTGTTTGTTTATTTATTGATTTCATGCTGTTGTACTATATAGTGGATTATATATTTACTGATGCTTTCGGATACAAATAAAGCAAGATTGAGTATCTTCTCTTATTCCTTGTTCCTGTCCAACTGACTCCTGAATTCTCCTTTTATCCTTCCCGGATTTTATCTTTTCAACTCTTGGGGAGTCTTAACTAATGATTTCGACAAAGTACATTCCTGTCTTCAAACGTATAGTTTATGTTATATTAAGTACATAGAGAACCCTAAAACCCTATTCCGTATTGGTATAAACGGCCTCAAAATCAAAATGTGGTTTATGTCATGTTTCAACCCTGTTTCTCTGTGACTGTTGTGGTTTTCAAGAGTGCAAGAACCACGTTAAAAAAGGCATTTGCCATTTTGTGTTGTAAAAAAAGTAATAAAACATTGAACTAATTTATTTAAACTACTAAATGATTGTAAAGAAATTTATTAAACTGGGTTTTGTATTCACTGGCTGGTTTTGTAACAATAACAGTAATTTTCACGTTCTCGTCTATTGCACAGGAGTTAATTGGTACATTTCACGTTGTACAATATCATGTACACTGACTTAGAAACTTTTAACTATGTCCGGTATTAATGTTTTTGAACCGGTCATTCGGGCAATGAACCACGTAACACTAATCACGTGACCTCTAAAACGTGACCGTTACGGCGACTGGAAAGACACACCAGTGACCTTTTCTATCCAAGGTCGGTAATGGGTCATCCTCATATATACTCCAGGTAGGTTTGGGTATGCACACTTTATACCATGGCTGACTGTACCCATTAGAATCCATCTAGATAAGAGAGGTCACGGTCATGGTCATGGTAATACTCGTCTTCAACACCAAGTAGTCTTAGTTTCGTCATGGTCTGAATACGTGTTTTGGTCTGAATTGTGGTCATGATTTTACTCATCATTATGGTAATGGTAATGGTAATGGTAATGGTAATGGTAATGGTAATGGTAACGGTAATGGTAATGGTAATGGTAATGGTAGTGGTAATGATCTTAGTCTTGGTCTTGGTCTTGGTCTTGGTCTTGGTCATAGTAATGGTCATGGTCATGGTATTAGTAATGGTCGTGGTCATGGTCATGGTCATGGTCATTGTAATGTAATGGTAATGGTCATTCTCGTGTTCATTGTAACGGTCATGGTTATTGCCATGTTCAAGATTAAGAACCAACCTTCCATCCTCTGCCTGCCACATCAAGGGTCCGCCACTGTCTCCCTAGAATTAATAAATCACATTTTAATTCATAAAAAAACTATTAATGTGTTTTTCAACGTTTAGAAATAAAAAAAAATGTTGAAAACAGTTTTTACCTCACAGGAGTCTTTTTTCCCTTCAGCATACCCCGCACACAGAAAGGATTCTCTGAAATAAAATTGTTCAGTCAAATTCTTTAATTATCATTATTTAAATTATTAAAAAAATATCATATTTTATATTTTTCTAATGGTATATAATAATAACAATGAATTAGATATTTACGAATGTTTGTATATTCAATGAAGGATTGGAAACGGATTGGAAACAAAATAAAGAAAACTATATTAAAATTGTATCAAAAAAAGGAAAATTGTTTGAATTTATTTTTCTACATTTTTAGCAGAAATGTCCTTGCTATTTTAAGTGACCTTCCACTTACAGAGAGGCATGTTTTACAATTATACCTTAAACACCTTTATCTGATCAATAATATGGAAGATAAAGTAATCTTTCTTGGACTAATTAAAAAAAAAATCAAATAAAAATTATCAATTGTAAGATAGAAAAACATGGACTGCTGATCAGATAAAGGTTTCAATGGTACCGGTATGAATCGGGTATGCTAAGTATGAAATGGGNCTTGGCATAAATCATTTGTGATGACCGGGACACTCACTTGGTGAAGAATATTGGGTACTCCGCCACCTGCCACAAAAATATATTTTACAGATATTTTTAAATATCAAAAAGTAAATTTTACTTTTATTGCGTTTAATCTTTCTTTTCCGGCAACTTAAAACTTTTTTGATTTAAATGAAAAAAATAAGACACGAAATCAAGGATTTAATGCAAGGAAAGTTATTTCAGAGGTGTACGCATCTTTTGTACTGCAGTGTACTGTCACTGGGCGGTAATGTAAACACAAGACGGATGTCGAAGCCTGACATGGGATCCATCTTTCACATAAATAATCAATGAAATATTCTGGTCATAGGAAACTTTTATGTGAATTATCAAAATTATTAAAATTAAACGCTTTTAACCTCCTCGGATACTAAACGAAAACTGATGCATCTATTCTTGTTTACAAATTTCGCCCAGAGAGAACTGGTTTCAATATGTACGCAGAGTATACACGACTGAAATTAACTTTCCTTGCATTACATTCTTGCACGAAATGTACTTTAATGTTTACGTACTTTTTGAACATAGCAAAGGAAAATGGGGTTGTTGAAAAAACATTATAATCTTAAAGAAAATTAGTAAAAAGTAATCCGAATTTATACTTATTTAGTATTTACTATTTAGTATCCTAAATTACATTCAAGTTTGAACTAATGGCTGGATGAAGATAAATATGTGCAAGTGAAAATTAAAAAAATTATACTTTCTAGCTGCAAACCATAATTTTTAAACCGTTAGACAATCCCTGTTTTAAAAGCAAATATAACGGGGTACGGTTTACAAGTAAAACAGTAAGATAAAACTAAACAAACTTGACAGTATTTCCTTGCACAAGTCTCAATGCCAAAAAACGAAATTACAGGGTAGCAAACATTAATTCAAAAACTAAATTACAGGGTGAGCAAACATTCATTCAAAAACGAAAGTACAGGGTGAGCAAACATTCATCCAAAAACTAAATTACAGGGTGAGTAAACATTCATTCAAAAACGAAATTACAGGGTGAGCAAACATTATCCAAAAACGAAATTACAGGGTGAGCAAACATTAATTCAAAAACGAAATTACAGGGTGAGAAAACATTCATTCAAAAACGAAATTACAGTGTGAGCAAACATTAATTCAAATAATTCAAAAACGAAATTACAGTCTTTTTATTAAAAATTGATGTAGACCCCAAATGTGGCAGACGAATTTTAAACTCATGCTTCGATTTTAAATAGGACAATGAAACAACAACAATTGTGCTGCAGTGCACACTGTACACGGATCCATTCCACTTGTTAAGTTAATTTTTAATTGTTTAGACTGTTGACAACACTATTTTCGCTTTGACAACATTAAATGCTTATTTGTTAATTGTTTAAATGTTTGTGGGCCCAACTGTACAAAAGGATTAAAGGTATTCTGTAAAGTGGATTCTAAAGTTCCATGTTTTTATGATAACTCTGTTTATATTAATGTCGCTGGAAGATTAATTTGATGAACTATCCCAATATGTCGTGTAAAGTTTGAATTATGTACAACTTGATTTGTCTACCGGTCTAGTACTTCAAATGACCCGGAGCTATTTGTTGTACTTCCTTGGGAGCCCAGGTTACCCGCGCGTTGTCGTAAATTACGATTTTACCTATTTTTCCCTCTAAAAGTCGACCCACTCAGTTTAGAATCTCAAAACCAAACATTCCCGTGGATCTCCCGGGTTCCCCAATTCAAAATTTGAGGCAAATCGGTCCAGGGGTTCAGGAGTTATGATCGGACAAACAAACAGAGATTACAACTTTATATATATAGATATTCACCGTATTCAAGACGACCCCAACCAGTGACGATCCCCATATTATCGAGGAAATCCCCAGCATCTATACGCGGCATACAGATCGGAACCACGTGGGGCTGCCGCTCTATTGGTTCCTCCAGCTCTAGGATAGCGATATCATTCTCAAAGGTTGGCGCCTTGTAGTCTTTGTGGATCACAACCCGCTTCACCTAAACACAATTCAGGTTGTTACGATTCATTTAATGATTTAATCAAATAATCAATTAATCATTCGATAAGCTGATCAAAGAAGAAATTTTCCAGAAATCAATAAATAAATTTTTTTAAATTTGTTTTGATACAGCAAATTTTACTATAATATTTCTTGAAGTACTTTAATCATTAAATTGTTAAATCTAAATCAATAAAATTAAAATAAAAATAAATTTTATTTTACCCCTTTTTCTCTCGTTGACATGGATTCGGTGGGTCCGGATATATCGTATTCTCCTAGTTCTACCAGAAGGGAAGCTAGTAAACTGAAACAGATTATTTTAAATATTTTACAAAAAAATGGTCTCATAGCTAGATTTATCAAGGTATATTTATTCATTTTTTACCGAACAAAATAGAATAAAAAAATTATGATTACTAAAATTTGTGTGTACTTCATCGGATGGATATTTTACTAAAAAATTGGGCTTCTGGCAAAAACGTCACGTTCATTATTGAGAAAATATTGGATAATTCTGGCATTTAGGGGCATCAATTTACTCTTGTGAGTACATGTCTAAATGATTAAAGTACATACCCATACGCATAAACAATGTTCAAAATAAACCAATGAACAATGACCATAATAATCATACATGAACAAATCGGAACGAGCATTTAAAATGCAATATAATTTCAAGAAGAACAATGAACACGTTAAAATAAGACAATGTACACTTGATATTAATATAAACATGCGACATGTTGACACGGAAAAATTACAGCAAACATAATATATATACTTGTGATTTCTATGGCTCAAATCTCTGGGATTTATACAGTAGGGATGTTCAAAAACTCCTGAATTCATGGAACATTGCTATTCGCATTTTATTTGATCTACCAAGAGAAACCCATAGATATTTCATTGAGCCCATTTCTAATGTTCCTCATATTAAAACAGTTTTATGCACTCGTTTTCTACAATTTGTGACCAGTTTATCAAATTGTCATAAGCTATGTATTCGACTTTTAGTAGATATAAGTAAACATGATTTAAGAACTGTTTTATATAAAAATCTTGAATCTATTGCACAAGATTGTAATGTACAATCTAGAAATCTAAACGAATTTTGCGTGAAACAAAATATGATATACAGTCATATTCCTTTGGACCAAGAATGGAAATTACCCATTCTTCATGAATTACTTAAAGTTAAAGAAGATAATTTTGTTCTAAACAACTTTGATAATAATGAGATCGCAACCATGACCAACTTTTTATGTTCCGACTAGAAACTGTATTTATATATTATACTTTATTCTTGTTTTTGTCTTATCATATTGTACCATTTTACATTTTACCATTTTACGAAATAAATCTATAATTATAATATATCTAGGCAAATACATAGAACTCTACAATTAACATTTAAAGAGATATATATATTATACCAAGGTAAGGTTAGGCCATTAGAGAATTTGATAAACTCAGAATGCAAGAAAATCTGTAATACAGAAATAAACTTAGTCTCGGTGGGGGTGTACAAATGTATGATTGTTGTTTATAAATAAACGCCACCGAAACTGGACTTGAACCATAACATAGATGGAGCACAATCTTAAAGTTTTAGTCGCAGTTTAGAGTTATAGTTAGAGTAAGAGTTGGCTGGCCTATTCAATATACTATATCGAAAAAAATGTCACCGAATTCAACATACTACATCGTAGACTTTCTCACCAAAGTGTCAGCGTACTACTTCCTCTCAGGAGTATACTATATCGGAAAAAATGTCACCGAATGCGACATACTACATCGTAGACTTTCTCACCGAATTGTCAGCGTACTACTACCATACTCAGGGGTGACTACAGGATTTTTTCAATGTACTGCTGTAAGTACATGTCTAGATGATTAAATTACTTACCCTGGTTGAAAATGTACTGCTGTAAGTACATGTCTAGAAAGTACATACCCTGGTTGACAATGTTCTACTGTAAGTACATGTCTAGATGATTACAGTACATACCCTGGTTGACAATGTCTTATGTCGAAAATGTCGATATTCTTTTGACATAAGCCTAATTATATTGAATGTAAATAGACTGCTATACCAGTTTTAATCCACCGAAAATAAGTTCATTGTGTCGAATTCTTGGATAAAATGAAAAAGTTATGAGCTTTTAGTAAATATATATCAAGCAATAAAGGGTGACCAAAAAACTAAGAAGGGGGTTAAAAACAAAAAAATAAACATAAACCTCAAAAGGGTGCATCTATAATCTATATCTATAAATATAAAAATGTAGTAATCTCTGTTTGTTTGTATGTCCAATCATAACTCATGAACCACTTAACCAATTTCNTGTCTAGATGATAAAAGTACATACCCTGGTTGACAATGTACTGCTGTAAGTACATGTCTAGATGATTACAGTACATACCCTGGTTGACAATGTGCTGCAGTGAGTACATGTCTAGATGATTAAAGTACATACCCTGGTTGACAATGTGCTGCAGTGAGTACATGTCTATCTGAGATGAGAACGCCTCCACATTTATTTTTCAAGAATAAACCCAAGAAAGATCTCTCTTTGACTAGCACCTAGATTAACAATTTAAATGTGCAAATTAATTAAGTCTTTGCCACAAACTCAAAGCTTCAAATCCCTAAATATTTGCAACCTGAAAGTGTAAACCTTTGATATTTCAAACTTAGATTATTTGATCTAATAGAAGTCATGGTTTAAACTATCTAAGGTCTACGACATTGGGTTCAAAGAAACTGGGAAATTGGGACTGGAAAATCAGAGTTTGAGACAATGACTTAGTTTCTTTATTATTTTGAAAAGTCCCCCTTTGCAACATTATTCATTATTTTGCTTCAATTTTTATTTTATTCAATTTGCTTATTTCTTCCGTCCGTCAGTATGATCGATACTGATTCTTCCTGGCTTTCTTTTGGTTTTATTTAGATGTTTATTTCTTTTTTGATTATTTAAATAAAATAAGTTTCGATTTAAATTCAAAACTTAAATGCTTTTTAAAATTTTTATAACATTTAAAAAGATTTTAATTTGTCGGTGTTAATTCTCTTTTATTCTTTTTAAAAATTATTTTTACGACTCTTTTTAAAAATCTTAAAATTTTATTTTTTAGTTCTGACCTGCCAGGGCCAATCTCCAAAGTTAGATTTCTCGCCTCCAACAATTCGACCTTGACCTCGCAAAGGTCGAACTCCGCAATCTAAACACATAAAGAATAAGGCACTGTGCAAACCAAGTCGTGCACACTCTCACGCAAAAATCAAGCAGTATTTTGCCAATTACTCCTATCAGACCTAAGAAGCTGGAAACAAGTGCGTTACATTTTTAAATGCATATGCCTAGGGCTACAAAAAAATGTACCAATGAGGTGTTGAGGTAAAACCAAAGGCCAATCCGTTGCGACACTTTAAAGTCAAGGCTTTTATAAATATAATGGCTATCTTTCAGAGTTGTCTGTATTTCACCGACTTAAACCATTTCTTAATCTTTAAGTTTAAATTAGGGTTTACAAATTTTAGTTCAATCTCTTCTCTCGTTCGAAATTTTCGCGAAATTAGTTCGAAATTTTCGACCTTTAAATCTTATTCTTTCTCGCAAAATTACAATCTTCTTGATGCGAAATGGAAAGATTTTGATTTTAATCGAACGAAAATTGAATGAAAAGGAGGGAGAAAATTTCGTCGATAATGCATCGAAATTCGCGAAAATTTTGAACGAAAACTAATGAATTTCGTTCGTTCATTTACGCAAATTTCGTTTCACGAAAATTTCGTTGGAAAACCTAGTTTGAGTTCGGTGATTCAAAAACCAGCAATAGGTAGTTCAGCGACGTAGCTCAAATTCATTAAATTCTGTCCCATATTCAAAACGGTATCTTTTAGAAATTTTTTGTTTGAGTGACAAAAATTCTCAAGTTACTTTAATCATAATTAAAAATCATAACTTTCCCAATTAAAAAATAGAATATCATCATCAATCTTTGCTGTGACGAAGGTTTATCAGTAATGTTGTGACTTTGGAGGTATTTTTAAGCGGGGAAGGCAAACCTTTTTAAAATAAGTTTCGCAAAGAGCATGTTGATAATAAGCTTGACAAAATCCTTCACGCCTGTGTACAATTAAAAAATAATTTGTTCTGAAAATGACAACTTTGACAAATAATGATTGAAAGGGGTTAACTAATTATAGATTTCAACCTATAGTTAACTATTACAATTCAAATACAAAAAACACGAAGAGATATTAAAATTTAAAAAATTGGACTTTCATGGAATTTTATAGAATTTTATCTATCATTTATTATTACAATAGTTTTCATGAAATAATTACTTTTATACATGTAAATTGTTTTATACCTGGGTTTAATGAAAAATCAATCTTTAAAAATAAAAATAATTTTCTAAAGCTTTTTTTTGTATTTAGGTACTACTAATTCAACTTCATGCATTTTAATATCTTGCACATATAGGGTTGTTATAAAAGATTAATGATAAATAAGTATTTTTCCTGTATTTATGAACGAATTAATTCTTCAAAATTAAAAGTTCTGAGCTATAAAACAGATATTTAAAACCAACTTTGAAAAATATTGTAAATAAGAGAAAATATTTTTGACAAATAATTTCATGTTAACAAAAATTTTTAGAGAGGAGTGTCCGGCAAAGATTGTGATCTTAGTTTTACGGCTTATGACCACAAATTATACATCTTACCCCCTCCCCATCCCTTTCCCTAGTAATGGCTTGGTTTGCTATTTAAGATTGTAATGACTTTTATATGCAAAAGATATTGCAGAGTTTTATAAAAGCAAAATTTTACAGAAAATCTCAGGTTGATTAATCTTTTCTATTAGATCAGGAATACTCTGGTTTATAGATGCAAGGATAGAGTTTACAAACAGATCAAGTTGTTCATTCACCCATCAAACCCCCGTCACCCCTTCGGGTCTCCCCCTTGTGGTTGCATAACTGCGCCTCGTTTTGATGACTTAATAAGATTTAATTCTAAGTTTATGTTACAACTGAATGCTTTACTGCACACAGCGAGGTAGGGGAGGGGTTGCAGGACCGTCATGAGTCTAGCAAAATGGTCTCCAAGTCTATGTTTACGCAATTGAGTATTAAAAATGACCTGACGCTACCCTTAAACGTTAGAATAGATATTATAGAAGTAATAAATAATTTTGTTCAAAGAAAATATTTAATCTTTAAATAGCTTTCCAGTGTTTTCTTAAATATCAAAAATTGCTTAGCTATAGAAAAAATAAATATTTTTTCTAAAATTAGTTTTACATTACTTTTGAAAATATCTATTCTAAAGGATTGGGGTATGCGAATCCAGAGACTTGGAGACCATTTTGTGGGGCTCCTGGCGTCACTGCACCCCCTCCCTAACACAGCGCGGCTCCACGTCTAAAAGCTTTAGATTGGATGACTTTACTATTTTGCCATGAATGAATACTTAGAAACTCGTGTATGAAGAAATATTCTAATTTCTTCACAGATTCAGAAAAATAGTGACTATGTAGTGTACACCCCTTTCCCCTTGAAGACCCCCCCCCCTCCCCTCTTTAAATCTAAAACGTTTAAAAGCTATCAATAAAGTCATCAATGAAAATCTTTAAATCGAAGAGAAGAGGAGACCAAAAAATTATTGTTTCGTAAATTTTTTAGAAACATAAACAAATTCTACCTTTTGTATAATCCCATGATTGGGTTGTGGTGATGGTTGTTGTGGTAGTTGTTGTTGTGGTGGTTGTAGTTGTTGTTGTTGTTGTTGTTGTTGTAGTTGTAGTTGTTGTGGTTGTTGTAGTTGTTGTGGTTGTAGTTGTTGTTGTTGAAGTGGTTGTTGTTGAAGTTGTAGTTGTTGGTGTTGTTGTAGTAGTTGTGGCTGTTGTAGTAGTTGTGGCTGTTGAAGTTGTTGTGGTTGTTGTTGTAGAAGGTGTAGTGGAAGTTGTTGCTGTTTTTAAATCATAATTTACTTTATCTTTATTCTTGATTTTTTCTTCAGATTCCGACGGAATAGTGTTTATGGAATCCTGGTTGAAAATATTATTTTTATTGTTGTTGTTTATTATTGTCCAGGGTTTGCTTGTCCATTTATCAATCCATTGGAAGGGATCAAGAGTAGCTGGAGGATTCGTAGTGGATTCAACCTGCAATAAACAAGGGGATAAATACAACCGTCAAAAGGATTTTAATCTTTCTTTTGGTTTAACATTCTTTTGAATTTGAATGCTTAAAGGGACTGTTACGCGTAGATTCAAGTAACCCTCCGGCCTCCATCCAAAGATGCTAATGCCCGATTTACAATTGCATCCTTGAAAGCTTCTTCTGATAAGAATGAATTAGATATAAACTGTTTATTTTCATTTGTGGGTTCTCTACGAAAGTGACTTGATCATTCCTTGTTTATAAGAAGCAACGGAGAAACATACAGATTGTTCCTCTTGAATGCTATTTAGTTGATCTAAATGTTGCCAGGTTGAGAGGGAGTTGGATAAGGTTGTAATCTAAAAGAAATCAAGATTGAAAGATTATTTCTCGCAGGAAAAAGTTTTGGCTTGAAACCAAAACAGTTTTCGGTCTTTTAAAATATTATTTTCACTATTTTATCCGTATGTAGATAAGGGGGCCAAGAAAATTGGGCAGAAAAAATCAAATATATTAAATTGATTCTTTGCCACAAACTCTGATTTCTAATATTTATATATTTTTTATCCAATGTCGTAAACCTTAGTTATTTCAAACTAGGAATTCTGAGAGATCAAATGAATTTAAGTTTGCAATATTAGGTTTAAAAGATATAAGTATTGATAAATTTTGGTTAATGGCAAAAACTCAATTCCTTTGTCAGTTTAAGTATCACAAGAATCTAAAATAATTTTTTAAAACTACAGTGAGAACCATACAACTTTGGAATAGGAAGACGACTGTTAGACTTAAGTTTTGATTTAAAATAGTCCAATAAACTAAAAAAAAGAGTACTGTGCAGTGTTCACTGTACACTGGCCCATTTTTATATAATAAGTTGACTAGTAAAACTATTTTCTGTTTATAAACATATTACTCATATATTCCTAATATACAGTTTTTTTAGTATTACTGCATTTATAAATCATATACAGTGGAAGGCGGTTATATCAATACAATCAAGACGACTTTTATATTTAAGTTTTGATTGATAACAAGCTTTTTCAAATGTCAAGTATACAAGTAATCAAAAAGAAGCTTCTTTTTTTGTTTATCCATGCTGTTTGGCAGCTTGATAAACATCAAAATTGAAATCGAAAATCGTCTTCATTGTATTGATATAATCGCCTAATCTGTAGATTAGTTTATACCTGGGGTTGTATTGATTGTAAGGGTATAATTGAACCATTTGCGAGTATTATCGATGGAAGAGAGGTGGATTCAGGACTTTTTAGTTTTTCTATAAAAATACTAATTAAATCACTCTCTTGACTAGCGTACACAGACTCCTGCGTGGTTGTATCTATCTCTGGTTTAGAACTACTCACGACAAAGTTGTCCACAAGGTTGGTTTTACTTGATGGAAGACGACAGCAGGCTCCGAACAGGAATCCATCAATACATGTACCGAGCACAGTTCCTTTACTTTTAAAGCATTCGTAATTGAACATACACACTCCTGACTCTCCTTCACGCTCGACCCTATACCACAGATACTAATGTTTAATTATCAATCAAGAATAATTGACAGTTCGCAAAGTAAGTTTGAAAAGGACAATGAAATACTTGGAACAAATTTGATGTTATGCAGTTTTGTCAATAATGGGAAAAGCTGAAAAGCTAGTAAATATTCTTAAGGTTAAGAAAATCATCAACATCGTTCATGAAAAAATAAATAGGGAACAGTCATAAAAATTAAGGAAGACCCCATCAAAAGTTAAATATTTGTAAATATTTATAACTTAAGAATATACCAAAAAAATATGTTATCGTTTAAACTTCAATAATCATCTTTAAAAAAGTAAAAGTAAAACTAATCGAAGTCAAGCCTTGCAGTTGTTCCTTAAACTGTATATTTTAGATATTAGCTAATTAACCTACGCCATCATTATCAAGTAGAAATGTCAACTTTCATTACTTAATGGAGGGCAGGGTTAGCTCCAGGAGGAGGGGGGGGGGGGAACAAATTATTATGTCAATAGAGCAATTTTCAAATCTACCAGTATCTCAAGACCACCATGTGTTTATAAATATGTTTTAAGAAACTTTCATTAGAGATATTCGTTAGTTACTTAAATAAACATGTGCAAACTTTCCGGCATTTTGTATCTTTAAAAGTGACGATAAAAAATATTTAATTAGTTCTGTCATTCCTGCATTCAGTCGGGTTGATCTTGAATTTACTGGATATTCCACGATCTGAAAAAATAGAATAATAAATTAAAAGTTTTTAAGATTTATGAAATAATACCATTACTTAATCTGGAACTAACGTATGAGATATAGAAAGACAGACACGTAGTTAGATATATAAATAGATAAATAGATAGACAGATACAAAGGTAAATAGACAGATACAAAGGTAAATAGATAGACAGATACAAAGATAAATAGATAGATAGATAGATAAATAGAAAGATAGATATTGAGTGTACGGACCATGACAACGTCTTATTATTAGACCGCGCCATTTTTCTTTTATTTCACACGTCTGGAGAAAGTTTTCTTAAATCTCAGTTTCTCTCATAGATATTATATATAAATAGATAGATAGATAGATTGATAGATTGATAGATTGATAGATAGATAGATAGATAGATAGATAGTTAGATAGATAGATAGATAGATTGATAGATAGATAAATAATTAGATAGATAGATAGATAGATAGATAGATGCAACAATTAATTCACATCATGAATTCAAAAAATTTATCTTTTCATTGATTTCATTGATTTCCAGCGACTTATAATTGACTCTTGTATTTTATTCAGCACTGAATGCAAGAATATCATCAGAGATATTCACAATTTGTTTTTGAGCAAAGAGGTTCACGTGAAATTAATACAAAAACCACTTGAGAGGAATGAGTTAAGGATATGGGTGAAAAAGGGTTGAAATGTCCATTTTTTAACTCGAATTTTGTTTAGCATTTAATACTTTCAATTAATGTTTATGGTCAGTTGAGTTAGTTTGTGCGCAAACATACTCATGTCTACGCAAGTGTATTTCTAGTTTACGCAATTATTGCATGAAATTGTTTATTAGTATTTTGACCACACTAACCGAAGAAATGAAGTCATCTTGCTCTTCGATATATTTACAAACTATATCTACAATCTTCGATATATTTAGAAACTATACATACAATCTTCGATACATTTACAAACTACATATACAATCTTCGATATATTTACAAACTATGTATAAAATCTTCGATATATTTACAAACTATACATACAATCTTTGATATATTTACAAACTATATATACAATCTTCGATATATTTAGAAACTATATTTGATATAAACTTTGCAAAATTTTTGCGTGATTGCACATTATATATATATTGTATATTTATACATGGTGTATATATATATAGTATATATATATACATTGTATATATATCTTCTTAAAATAAGTCTAGAACATGTTCTATTGTATATTAAAATTGGTTATTTCTGGACATGTTACATGTTGAACATTCTTCAGCAGCAAACAATATATATATATTTATTTGTTTATTTATTTTCGTGAACGTACACAATTTAAATAATGGTACAATTAAACAGAAGAAAAAAAAACTTTAAGAGTATATATCAAAAATGAATACAAATACAAGAAACAAAATCATAATGTAGTTATATATACGTGCTAATGACGTCACATAGGTACTTAATTTACAAAAACTAAATCTAAAGTCCTCTTAGATTATAATAAGATGTTTTGCTGCTAAATGTTAAATATTTTGCAATATTATACTGTTTTTGCAAAACTAATTTAATCTGCCGGAATTAATACCATATTTACAGTAACTAGATTAATGATATGATAATTTTATAATGTCGAAATTTAACCGCTTTCCATACTGAGCTATGATATCCCCCTACATTTCATCATATTTTTTCTCATGATGAAAGTAAAACTTATATTTTAGTTTGCATATTTAATGTATTCATCATATTCGTGAATTGCATTTGCAATTTTGCATTTTCAGACGAAAACCGCGAAACTTTCTTCTAAAATATCTCAAAGTCAAGTTCAAATTCTAGCTTTATTAAATCATTTAAAATTCTCTCCCTTTCCCTTTTTTGGCATTTGTAAAAATAATCTGAAATTTCAAGTTTTCATGATTTTAATATTTTCGCACTCCATTTTTAATTTTATCTACTGGGCTGTTTTTATATTTCTCAAATTCAGGCCCAAGAAATGAAAACTGGTTTCGTTTAGTTTAATTTTAGAAATTTTATATTTATCGTCTCGACACATGACGTCGATATTATATATTAATCAATAACTTATTCTTCAAATCTTGAAATTTTTAAAGAAATCTTAAATTTTAGCAAAACTTCCTTGTTTCTCCAACACTATGTAAAACTATATGAAAAGTTTTGCTTTGGAAAACATATCCTTATATAGTTTTCCTTGATAAAATATTATCGAAAATTTTGTATTTTTGAACGCTAATTGTGTCCTTTCGATGTGAGGTACTTTCCCAACGGCTTTTTTCCAAGCGGCAATTCCAAAGGGTATTTCCCCAAGTGGAAACTTCCCAACCGTGCAATTTCCCAAGTGGCAACAATTCCCAGGTCTGTCCTAGCAGCAGTACTCGGGCCCCTAGCCCATCCTAGCAGCGCTTGGCCCCAATTGAAGCCTGCGGCGCCTCAGAAGGCCTAACCTAAATTTTGGGAAGTTGCCGCTTGGGAATTTGCACAATTGCGAAATTGACATATGGGACATTGTCACTTGAGAAATTGCCTTTAGGAAAATACCTAACACCATTTCCAAGGTTGATAAAAAAAACTAAATTTGTTTCGGCACGATTTATAAAGCTGAGCAGCCAAAATCTTTCCCATTCGTCATATCTTTCATTTTTGAAATAATTTGTTGTACTTGAAATAATAATAATAAAAAAGATACTTCTGGTCGATCCTAACCTTTCAAACACGTGGTCTGGTCTTTTTTATGCTTTCAAAATTGCCGACGATTTATGGAATTTTGTTAAGATTTCAATCCATTTCATAAGACCAAAATTGTCAATTACTATATCGTTGGCATTATAAGAGGTTTGTCATAAAATGTTAAGCTTTTATGTCGTGAATCCTATTTTTTTATAATTAGAGGTTATAAAGATCAAATATGAGAGGTTATAAAGATCAAATATGAGAGGATATAAAGATCAAATATGAGAGGCATAGGCTATAAAGATCAAATATGAGAGAATATAAAGATCAAATATGAGAGGCTATAGGCTATAAAGATCAAATATGAGAGAATATGAAGATCAAAGACAAATCTTTAGTCCGTCAATCCATTATCATGTTAAGTGGGACTCCCAGTATATCTAAGAAACTTTTTCGCCCTGGAAACCGAGCATAAGAAGGGAAATGGGCGGTCTCTGCCTGAAAACATTACGACCATTTCCTGGAGAGTCCCAAATTTTCATTGAACCCCGAGATTATCATTGGAGACCCCCAGCTTTTCACTGAGACCCCAGATTTTTGTTGCAGACTCCCAGACTTTCATTGGAGACCCAAATAATTTCATTGGAGACCCAAATAATTTCATTGGAGACCCAAATAATTTCATTGGAGACCACAGATTTTCTCTGAGACGGACAGATTTTCTTTGGAGACTCCCAGATTTTCATTGGAGACTCCAAAATTTTCATTGGAGACTCCCAGATTTTCATTGGAGACTCCCAGATTTACATCGTCAACGAAAATCTGTGTCTCAATGAAAAGCTTGGGGTCTCAAATCATAATCTTGGAGTCTCCAATGAAAAGTTTGGAGCCCAACGAAATGGTGGTAATGGTTGGTTTCTATAAGGCAGAAACCGACCATCACTCCTAATGCTCGGTTTCTATTAGGCAGAAACCGAGCATTACACTCTTATATAATGCTCGAGAAACCGCCCATTACTCCCTAATGCTCGGTTTCTACAAGGCAGAAACCGCCCATTACTCCATAATGCTCGGTTTCTGTTAGGCAGAAACCGAGCATTAAACTCTTATATAATGCTCGAGAAACCGCCCATTACTCCCTAATGCTCGGTTTCGAAGGCGAGAAAGTGTTAAAGTTCCCCATCTGTAAAACCTACGTTATTGATACGTAATCTGTATTTCACAAGAATATAAAGCCAAGGTCATGAGAGAAAAATGTTGTAAAACGTGCTTGAAACTTTAAAAAATTGAAAAGTAAAGAACAAATATTTTCCTTGGTCTATATAGCTGGTTTGAATCATAAGTACTTAAAGTCAGGGCCCTTCACTAAACCAAAACAAATAACAGTTATAATGTAACTACCTACAGGTTGGGGTGTTACTGGTCAATTGATTCGGCAATAAATGCAAAAATGGCCGCACCCCCCCCCCCCTTAAATCCAGGTGCGGATACAGGAATGTATTTGGGGTGTGCGAAAATGTTAATACGCGTAGCGCAAATTTTTTTTTGGCTCACCCATAGGGGGAGCAGGGGTGATACTTTGAGAGTATTTAAATCTTGATTTTGATCTCATATTGCAATAGTTTTCAGGTACAATTGTATCAATTTTAAGACTCAACATTTTTCTCCTATTCTTTAAACTGTAGGACTTACACAAACATCAAATTATTTGAGTCACGGAAGTTCGTAGTAAGATTTTGACTCCACTGGAGACNATTACTCCCTAATGCTCGGTTTCTACAAGGCAGAAACCGCTCATTACTCCCTAATGCTCGGTTTCAAGGGCGAGAAAGTGCTAGTGTTCCCCAACTCTAGATGAGCTACGAGGTCACAATGTCGTATAGATTTGGCCTTTTCTTTCTGTCTAGGTCACAGTGGGATTGGATTTGACACATAGAACTTTTTAGAAAAGTTTCTCTCCTCTTCTGTACTTGATTATCCACCATTGAAAAGACTTCTTGAACTACTTTCATTTTTTAGATTAGTTTCAACAAAATATTTTGCTGCAGTTTTTCTACTAAAACTTGGAAACAAAAGATGCGAGGAATTAATTATAAAACTTTATATCTAGTTTATTCAAGATAGTTTACACACAAGGATGGAAAACTTTGTTCAACTCTTAACCAAAACAAAACTTTTTTTGTAATGTCAAATCCTTTAAATTTACAAATATTTTAAAAGAAAATGCCACAAATACATATTTCAATGGTTATTCAAAGTTTATTATCAATCCTACCCCCCCCCCCCCTCCCCA